ACTTTGGTAACTTTGCAGATTAAACTACCTGTTCCCATGTCATTCATCGCCCTCCAGGCAGCTTGGGCTGTTGACAGGGCAACAGCTGCAGAATTCACTATCCCCCAAAAACCCTCAGGAAGCCAGTCACCACCCTCTCAGCAGGAGAAGGGGCAACACCTGATATCATCTTACCCATGTGCAAGCCAGTTCCTCATCCTGAGGTGTGGAGTTGCCCCTGAAGACCTGTTACACCCCCTGCTAGCTTTGGTTATTGCTTGATGAATTGTTCCTACAGATGTTGCCATTGCATAAGGTGAACACAGTGTCAGCCTGCGGCTGCGGGAACTCCAACTCTGCAGCCAAAAATACTAACTGGCCTGGGGTGCAGGAGGCAAGACCAAGCATTTCTGGTGCTGCTGCCGCAGGACAGGCAACATGTTTCCTGCAGTAACACCTCCTCAAGCTGGCCCAGCTCCATATTGGAGCAATCAGAGAGTAATTAATGCCAAACACGATCCCCTTGCCCATCTCTGAGCTTCTGTTCCTCTCATGGGTAGTAGTCTTCCCTACCTGTTCCTTTTGCCAGCAGACACATGGCTGGGATGCAGCTTCATGCGTTGATGTCTGGGGCATGCTGATGGCCTGACAGGAGACCCTCAAAGCAGACTGGTGACTCGAGGGGTTGCAGAAGTTTGATACACTACCTGTGGCCTGGCCTTGCTGACCCGTCCCTCCTCCTTCCCTCTGATGTCTTCAGCAACCCAGCAGACCAATAAAAGCCAAGGTAAAAACAGGGTGAAAAGCAACGAGCAGCACATGCCATGCATCTCGCCCTGTATGTCTGCCAGTCTCAGGAGTACAGGGAAGGCTTGAAAGAGTAAACTCAGAGACACTTCATTACGAACAAGACAAAGGTTTATTTTCATTTCAAGTGAAGTAGAAGTGTAAATTTAAAAAAAAAAAAAAATCTCCAATACAGAATATAATATTCTCCTAGGCTGTACAGTCCACTTCTTTCTCAAAGTGTGCTCAGGGCCTGACTGTACCAGAACTTGGGCAGAACAGGAACTGAGAGGCTCCATCCTTTGAGGAATGAGCACTTTCAAGCCCCTCTCTCTTCTTATCAGTGCTCACATTTAAAGTGTTTCCTACAGGTTTGCAATCCAGATTTATTGGACTCTTCTGACAGAAATCAAAAGAGTAGTTTGGAACTTAGACTAAGTTTGCTAAAAGGAAGGCTCTCAGATATTTACAATAAAACTCACAGAAATAAATTTTTTTTCTTATTCTTGGTAGTGCCCAAGAACTGTACAAGCAACGTGCCAGACAAAAACACATTGAGATACACGTTTAACATATCCCCATGGCACAGGCATACACGGATCAAATTTTCTAACATATCCCCTTAGCGTATCCCCATATCCTCACAGAGAAACCCAACCCCACGGCTCCCCAAGGATACAACAAGCATATCTTCCCCAGTCAGTGGTCAGGCAGTCCCGTGTCACATGTGGGCACTGGGGCAGCACATCTCAGCTCCACAAGGAACAGCCTGGAAGACCCACAGTGTCCAGCGCACCCTTGGCACCTGAGCCTACACGACAGCTCAGAGAGGTTGGAATAGCCACAAAACCTCAGCAGTGCTGCTGGGAAGGGATTGCTGGAGTCTTCAGGCCTGCTGCAAGCCGGAGGTTTGAGCACTGCCAGCACTAGCAAAAGACAGGTATAGCTTTGCCTGGTTTTACTTCAAAAGCCTCAAAGCATAGACCCCACACAGATATAGAGTCCCTTGAATGGTCCCAGTAGCTCTTCACAGTTCTGCCCAGGCTTTGTGACCAAAATTTAAGCCATTCTTGACCATGTCTCAGGTTCTTGATGCAGCAAGCTCATCATTCTACCTGCTCATCATTCATCTGCTGCAAAAAATTAACAATCTAGATATGCGCAGTTTCCCTAGTTTGTAGGTGCAAAAGATCTGGAGAGAAACAAGAACAAGCATCTAGACCTTCTCTGCGAACAACGCACAACTGAACCTACTCAGTCTGTGCATTCTAAGTCATCAAGATCTGTCAGGCTTGTCCTTCAGACACTGAGTTTTGCTCCCTGAACTGCCTACAGATGCTATCTGAGCTCAGAAGCATCTTCCACAAAACCTGTACCATCACTGGTGACCTATTTTAGTTTGAACTCTAAACTGGCAGGAGGTCTGAAGCAGAGAACAAAATGAGAGGAACAAGGGCCAGAAGACATCTAGGTTCTTCACTCTCATGACCAATGACAAGATTCATGGAGGCATGAAGGCAGGTTTAGGTTGGATATCACTCCAGACAGTGGCTGAGCACTGGAACAGGATCCCCAGGGAGCAAGCGCCAAGCCTGACAGAGTTCAAGAAGCATTTGGAAAATACTCTCAGGCACATGGTGTGATTCTTGGGGTGTCCTGTGCAAGGACAGGAGCTGATCCTAATGAGTCCTTTCCAACACAGCATTGCTATGATTCTATGAAAATTACCTGCTCCACATTGATAACTGCTTCTACAGGAAGGAAAGAAAGCATTAAAAGGCAGGGCAGCTCTCCCAGCTACCCCCAAATGAGCAAGAGGTTGGTATGATTGAGGTCAAAGAGGTCAAAGTGGTACAGTCCAGTCCTTGCAGGCAATGAAAGCAGAGCCAGCAGCTATCAAAAATACTAGGAGCTGGCACAGCCAGGTGTACAGATCTTCTTCCAGATGGTGAAGGGAGAGTTGGTAGAGGTGTTAGCACAGCTGCTGGGGATACCTGCCCCTAGCTGAGAGATCCCTCCAGGGTGGTAGCAGCTTCTGGATGTGCCAGGACCAGGAAGAACAACTAAGATACAACACAGTTCTTCAGAAAGAATAGGAAGGGAAAAATCTGACTGACCTCAGCAGACCAAAGAGTTGAGTAGTGCTTACACTTGCTGGCTGTGCCCGCCCCGCACTGTCTTTGTACATGGAGCAGCCTCCCCAGCTCTGAGTAGGGACAGCAGCTTCCTGCAGTGCCACCACAGACAGGTCTACACAGACACAGGGCAGTGCTATCAGGTCAGTCTCAGCCTCCGAGCCCAGGAGCTGGCTCACCACATGCTATCCTGGGCACTCTGAACCCTTGAATCCAAAACTCATCTCCTACCTCACAGCCCTGCGGAAGGCAGACACACAACTTCTCCTGCCCTCCTACTGCAGAGGGTTTTACTCTTCTCCAGGCTGTGCTGTGAGGACACCCAACCACCTTCCTTCGCTCCATTTCCTCTCTCATGTCCCACCTGGATATGCAGACCGTAGCACCAACAGGAAGCAAAGAGGCTGCCTCTACAGAAATTTCTTCCTGCTGAGGACCTCATCTGAAAAAACGTAGAGCAGAAGGTACAGGTGTCTTGGTGGGATCAAAAGCTCCTTGCAGCAAAGCACAGCAGTATGTTTACAAGAGACAGTAAACATGAAATGAGATTAGAGAAGTGCTAAATGGAGGGCACAAGGAGAAACTTCTCCCCCACAAGGACAGCCAGGTTGCCCAAAGAAACTGTGCTGTCTCCATTCTTGGAGGTGATGAAGACTCAACTACATAGGGCTGAGCCTACTGGTCTGAGTCATAGCTGACCCTGATTTGGGTACCAGACTGGAACAGAAATTTCCCAAGATCTTCTCCAACCTGAGTTATACTATTATCTATACCCTTCTCGACCTTCTCACCAACCTCCTCCAGACCCTGGATACACAGGTTCCCCACCTCCATGGGAAAAAGGAGCTGTGTAAGAACACCTTGGAGCAGGGCTATGTCAGCTCCCTCTACACCCACAGCTCCAAGCAGAGTCTCGGGCATCCACTACTGCTCCAGACCTCCTTCCAGGGTGGTGAGATCTGTTGGGAGGGGTATGCTTGAGTTTCCCCACACATTTAGTTTCAAGCTTTTGTCTCACAGACATTCCTATTAGTTGTTCCCTCTCTGTATCTTTCTCCAGACTCTCTTCCATCCCAGGAAAGCTTGAAAGTGGAGCAACTGAAGATGAAAAGGCACTGTATCCTGCCTCTTGTGTTCCAGAAACAAAAGTTTTCTCCTATATATGCCAATTTTTCTAGACTACAGACCGAGCTGGGCTGATCTTGGATCAAAGTAATTTAGGCTGTAAGTACCTCCGCAGACCTCAGAATAGGTCTCCACTCAAAACAAGTCCAAATTTAATGTTGGCTACAACTTCAGAGGCAGACCAGGCTCCATCTAATCAAGTTGGAAAGACCTCCAAGGGCAGAGGTCCCACAGCTTCCCTGTGTTCGTCTTCCAGGGGCTGAGCATGCTCATGGCAGAAATTTTTGTAGTTCCAATCCCACCACAGTTCCCATCCCTGCAGCACAGAGCACAGCATCTGGAAGGATGTGACTTGATGTGTTTTTCTGGAGCCCTGGCATCCAAACCTTCTCCAGCCTTGGCCACACCGCTGATGTAAAGCCCGGGGATAAAGCAATAGCCATCAGGGACATGCCATCACATCAGCGCCACGAATTCTGCTTTTACAGCTTTGCCTGTACGAGGCCAGGGAATGCTTCCCTCCTTCACCTCACCAACAGACGTTTAACTCTCTAAAAAAACATGTCATGAACAGCAGAGATACTTTTAAACGTGAAATCTTCCTGGGTAGACCAAGAGGGGCCCAGTTGGGTGTGCCGGGAGGGTGGGAGCCTGGCAGGAAGCTCTGAGCACCTGCCTGAGGAAAGGCTGTAGAAGAGGAACAGACTGCTTGCCCCATCCAAGCACTTGTGAGTCCCTCGGACTTTTCTGCCGAGAGCGGACAGAGCTGGACAGGACACCCCAGGTCCCCAGGGCTGACTGCAACACTCCTCGCCAGGTAGCCCGAGCAGATGGCAGAATGCAGCAGATGGTAGGTGCAGCCCAAGGTTCTTCAGCATCTTCCCGGGCTGCGCCGGGAGCAGCCGTCCCGGGTGACCCTCGCAGTCCGCCGTCTCCCGGACTCCGGTCCGCGCTGTCGGGCCTCTCCGGGATGGGTCAGAGCGCCGGGACGAACCTGTCGGGGCCTCCAGGGTAGGTGCCGTGCCGCGGTGCGGGCTCGGCGGCACTCAGCTGCCCTCCGGCGCCGTAGGCGTGGGGCAGCGGCGGGTAGGGCGCGGGTATGCCAGGGGGGCCGGGCGAAGAAGCGGGCAGCACGATGCGCCCCGACGGCGCGTACAGCGGCCCGTGGCCCCCGGGCGCGTAGGGCCCGGGAGCAGTGGGCAGAGGGGCGTAGGCGTGGGGCAGGGCGACGGAGGAGCAGCCCTGCCCGGGGAAGGCGGTGGCGAAGGCGCAGGAGGCGGCGGCGGGTGCCGGGGGCAGGTCGGCGGGGGGCGGCGGGGCGGGCAGCGGGAGGAGGTGGCAGGGAGCGGCGGGGCGCTCGGCGAGGAAGGCCGGGTAGGTGGAGAGGTCGCTGCGCTTGAAACGTTTTCTGCGGCGGAGGAAGGACCCGCTCTCGAACATGTCGCGGGCGTGGGGGTCCAGCGTCCAGTAGTTGCCCTTGCCGGGGCGGCCGGGCTCCCGTGGCACCTTGACAAAGCAGTCATTGAGGGTGAGGTTGTGGCGGATGCTGTTCTGCCACTTGCGGGGACTGTCGCGGTAGAAGGGGAAGCGCTCGGTAATGAAGCGGTAGATGCCCCCAAGCGTCAGTCGCCGCTCGGGCGCCTGCCCGATGGCCATGGCGATGAGGGCGATGTAGCTGTACGGCGGCTTGCCCCGCTCCGCCGGACGCTTGCGGCGCCGCCGTCCGCCCCGCGCCCCCGCCGCCGCCGCCGCCGCCGCCTCCTCTCCCGGCGGCACCGCGTCCGCCTTCAGCGGCGGGGGCGGCGGCGGGGGACCCGGCGGCAGCCGGCTCTCGGCTGTCATGTGGCCGTCGGAGCGGGTCCGCGCCGGACCGAGCCGAGCCGAGGAAGCACAGCGCTCCGCGACCGTGGCTTTTATGCGGCGGTGTCCGGCGGCTCCGCGCCCGGGCGGCCGGCACTCCCCCTGCTACGCCCCGCCGCCCGGGAGGCGCGGGCAGGGCCGGGCGTGCCGCCGCTGCCGCCGCGGGTAGGGGCAGCGCCCTGCCCGACACCCCCTCCCGTCCCTCTCCGCCGGTGCCCGTCCGTCCCCAGCGCCGTCGGGGCACAGCTGACCCGCCGCCTTCGGGGGCGCACAGCTCCGGAGGGCAGCGAACGGAGCGGGGTCGTCGCCGGGATCCCGGTGCGGGTGTCCGGGCACCGCGGGAATTTGACGCGCCTCCCCGTAGGGCTCGGCGCCGTCGGGGCCGGTTGTGCTGGCGGCCGCGGGCCGAGGTGGCAGCGATGAGCGGCCGCCGCTGTCGAAGGGGATGTTGCCGGTCCGAGCGGGACAGTCGGCCCCGGGCAACGTTGCCCAGGGAGCCCCACGCTTCTTTGAGGAAATCAAGCTGTCGAAACAAATTAGGCTGGAAAAAACCACCCGGTGACAGATCTGCGTGGGGAGAGGCAGTAAGTGCGGGCTTAGGTTAGGCGGTTTGCGTTCAGGGCTGCTATGTAAAATGCGCTGAGGCTGGGGCCCTCCTAGCTGCTACCCAACAGCGATTTGGCACATGGCTAGGCTCTTGTGCCCCTGGTTTACCCCTGAGCTGACCTGGTTGTCCCTGATCCTTATGCCACAGGACCCCACATGTCCATGATCGAACCAGGAAGGATGCCAGGCTCTCCACAAGCTAATGCTGGGACATACCTGCCAGCTCCCTCACGGCTGAGGGTCAGATCCCAGCTGAGTGCACCAGCTGGTGAGGAATGCTTGCCCAGGACTTGAAGCCCTGTAACACACACCCACAGGCCTGGGGACAGCACAGCCTCCTCACCCGCTGGTGTGATGTTCCTTGCAAGCCAGAATATAAAGGAGATGGCAGGACGTCCTAGAGGTGGGATGGAGAGTGTCTGCAGGTGTGCACAGGCATGTGTGTGAATGGAAGGGTGCACATGCACAGGTACATGGGTGTGCAAGGGCACTGGTGTGGGTGTGAGGATGTGAGTGAGAGCTTGTAGGTGTGCACTGGCAGGCAAGTGTGTGTACAAACAAATGCCAGCACGCACAGGTGGGTGACTGGACCCGAGGCTTGCATGTGGGCATGGAGCAGATGTGAGCAGATATGTGTGCAGAGGTGGATGTGCAGTGCAGGTGCTGTGCATGGCTGTACACCTGATCCTGCCCATGTCTTGGTGTCTCGTGCCAGTTCTTCCAGAACTCCAGTCATGAGTGCACTGCTGAGTCTTTGTAGGAGAAGCTTTTCCAAAGCCCTCTTGGGCATTACAGAAATGATTTTTAAGGGAGAAAGAGGAGGTAAGAGATGTTTATCCTAGCGCAACATGGCTCCTTTGTAGGTGTCCAACAGAGTTGTTGAGCTATTTATCTGCTTGGAGAAAAATCCATGTGTGTGTGTGTGTGTGTGTGTGTGAGTGAGTGTGTGAGAGAGGATCCATTTCCGTACAGCAAACAAACCCCAGCCCTGCTTTCCAGCTAAATAAGGGACTTAGGAGTCACTGGCTACCTGCTTATCTTTGTGGCTTCCCAGCAATCTGGGAGATAGCAAAAAGTCCTATGGAGCTAGCAGACTAAACCATGAAGTGGCACTTGCTGTGGACCCACATGTGTGTGTCCTGTGTCCAGTAGCTGGATGCAGACACTGGGCAGTATTTCAAATTACATGCTGCAGAGTTTGTTACAAGAATAAAAAATCCTGTACCAATACCTACATTCTTGAAGTGCACAGCAGACTAGGGTAGTATTACCCTGTATGAACCAAAACCCAACTCCTTCAGTAAGAAGCTGCCTCACCAGTAAGGCTCTGCCTTCTGGCTCGTGGGAAGCTGCAGCTGGGAATGGATTTTCCTATCAGATGTTCCAAAAGGCAGTGCTGCAGTTCAGTCACCTCTGTGGCTGTGTCTCTCTGTGCCATGCCAATTCCATGCCTCCAGAGGGCAAAGTCAGATCGTGCTTCGCTTTCCACTCGTAGAGGATGGGGAATGAAAGAGGTGTGTGCTGAGGAGGGATGGTGTGCTGAACAGCTGCTTTTGCCCTCCCTGCTGGTGATGAAAATCCTTTCCCAAGTAAGCACTTTCCTTGGCAGAGCCCAAAGCAGAGTGAAATGGATACCCAAACAGCATGTGCTGGCTCTTGTCTCTTCTCCTTTGCACATCACACAGCTTAAACTGTGGTGCCAGTATTTGTGAGTGGAGTGGGAGTTGTATAACATGGTGCCCTGGAGACTACTCTCAGTCTGGTATTCTCATAAACCTATTTAAAAACACTTCTAAGTCTCTACTTTGGGAGCAGGACCGTGTCCCATTTTAGTCATTGGTGTCATTTTTGAGTAGCAGTTCCCATGGGGAGGGAACTATGGAGAACATGAAACTCCAGCTCACCCACTTGGATCTTAGATTGCAGATCTCCTCCACCTGTAAGTCAAGTGGTGCCTGTTGCTGGAGCAGGACAGTTGGTGTTCATGTTTGTGAAGCATTGTTTTCTCTTTTGCTTCCATCTTGCTGGAGGAGGGACAAGAGTAAGTAAGATGGAAAACACCATGCATTGATTAAACCCGTTCATAATAGAGTTCATAATACAATCAAAAATGTATGTTATCTACATAGTATTACCCATACAAAATCTATCACTTGAACTTTCTTTTGGTCTCTGGGACAAAGTTTAGATTTACCGTATTTTCTGTCTATATTTCTCAGCTCAGATCCTGCCAACACTAAGGTCTGCATCCTTCAGCTGGACAAAGAGGTCATTGATTGTGAGACCACTGCACCTCAGAGTTGTACCATGCACAAGGGCACTGTGCCTTGGCCTCAACTCAAGAATGGAGTTTGTTAGTACTGGTAGCTGCTAGAGAATTACCCCGACCAAAATCCCATCTGCTTGGATCTCCAGAGCAATTTCCACCCATGGAAAGAAATCCAGTTCACTCCCCACACATCTGCCATATTACAAACCACACCACTGAGATCCCTCAAGGGTAGGCTATGGAGACACCCTGCTCTTCGTGAGTCCTATGACCTGAGCTGCTTCTTCCACTTCAACCAAACAAGGTGAGTGGACACTAAATGTGTGCGCAGCCCCTTCATGTGCAACACATTGTTAGTTTTGTTTCTACATCAGAATTCCTCTCCTCTCTGAGGTGAGAAAAAGTTTTGCCTCTGTGCCCCAGGAACGGCGGGGCTGTATTTAATGTGCTCCAAGTTAAGGGTCTTAATGTCTCCAAGTTAAGGCAAAATCAAAATCCCAGATAATATTGGCTGAATGCAAATCAAGTGAGAGCACATACCCATGGCACAGCCACCACCCCAAACTCAGCTGTGTCTATCATGAAATGGCAGGTTTGGGGTTTTTATGTGTGTGTGTTTGGTGTCAGGACCTTGCTTTTAGAAGTGTGGAGAGCATCAGAGCCAGACACATCATGATACTTTGTGACAAGGAGCTTAACCCTACCTGCAATTTGTGGTTAAGATCTGAGAGGGGACCATAAGCCTGAGCCTTCTGGAATAAGACATGTCATGGCTTGGCATCATTCATGCACTTTCAGAGCACATTCCACGAAGAAGTATCCAAAGTGACTGATCTTAAGATATTTTGCACCTAGCTGGAGTTAATGGGAGACAAGAACAGGGAGGTGGTTGCATTTTGGAAACACGTTGTGGCTAGATTGTGAGATGGGAACCAAACCTCTGAGGGAGAATGATGTGCCACTGAACATGGAGTATGACCATGTGGCAGAAGAGAGGCTGGAAAACAACATACTACAAGGATACATATTTTCACCAGCTGTTCACTTGCATAGTGGGGGTAAAATTTCCCCTTCCATCAGTGGCCTGGTTGTTTAGTGTCAGTGCTGTTTTTCCAGATTACTGCAGCTTCTCATCCATTGTTGAGTTTTCTATGGGAACTTGGGGCTCCTGGGGGGAAAGAATTACTTGCTGAATCACACAGATATAGCCAGGTTTGTGTTTGAGAGTTAGCTGTTGTGGTCATTCTTCTGTAGAAAAAAACAAAACATCATGGTGGCATTAAAACAGTCCATGTCTCAGACCAGAAACTGGGGCAAGAGCCATGGGCAGTATTAGTCTCCATCCAGCATGGTTCCACCTGGGCAGGGCACCGAGCATGCTGAACTGGCAGCCCAGCAGCTCCCCTGGCTCTTGGAGGGAAACAGGATCTACAGCAGGTGAGCTGCAACGGGGGCAGGTGCAGCTGGGAAGGGCAGGCTCTCTCAGAGCTGAACACCACCTCTGACCATTCCCTCGGGACCCTGCCCCACTCGGGAATTCGGTGTGAGGTTCACAATGGCAAAAGGATTGGCTGTACAGCGTGGGAGATGGGCAGGATTGGTGCTCTGGGGTGATGGTAGCGCTGAACTAGAGGGAGCAGCTGACACAGGAAGAGGCAAGGCCCCAGCCTAGAGGGAGCACCACAAAAGAGCACCACAAAAGGGAGCACAGGACTGCTGGAAAGCTTGGGGAGCCCAGCCAGGGGAAGATGTGAGTGGGGCCCTGCTGCAGAGGCTCTGGGGAGCGCCGTGCATGGGGCTGGACACAAGCCAGGAGTGACTCTTGCAGCAAGTGAGGTACACTCTATACTGGGATTCCTGAGAAGGAGCACAGCTTGTCAGGCAAACCGAGGTCTGTGCCAGCACTCCTAAACAGTTAAACATGGGAGCTTGCTGTGCACACTGGCAGTGAGAGCCTCATTTAGCTAAGACATGGAGCCACAACATGAAGCGATAGAAAACACCTCATGTGGTGTGGGCAGCAAGGAGCAGGCACCTTCTTAGTGGAAGCAGTGTGGATGCAGCCTGAGCTGGATGGGCCATGACATACTCATTTGTTCTCCTGCTG